TAGAGAACTGTGAACGGCTCATCAAAATGGGATTTTCTCCAAGCTGATCACGCCCCCCCCCAACACAAACGGGCAGATTCTCTTTGACCTTGGTGGAACACTTGTGAAAAATGAAAATTATAAAAACAAACTTTGCTGTAAAGGGAACCGTCAGAGAGCATTTGCTACAGTCCCCCTCAACATGCATTCAACATTTTCCTTTGAGAAGGTTGTGCCCAAGGCTTCCAAGCCAGGAAATCCAAGATATTTTGGACTTATACATTTCTATTTCTTAGATTTATATCCCAGCCTCTACAGGAACTCATGGCAGCATACACTGCATTCTCTACTTTCTCCTCCAGTAACCCTAACAGGTAGGCAAGGCCGAGCGAAAGCAACTGGCCCAGTCACCCAGTAAGCTTCCAGTGTGGAAGGTGACCTTGAATTTAGGTCTCCCTTGTTGTAGACCAACACTTTAACCCAGTGTTTCTCAACCTTGGCAGCTTTCAGACGTATGGACTTCAATCCCAGAATTCCCCAGCCAGCATGGCTGGCTGGGGACTTCTGGGAGTTGAAGTCCACACGTCTGAAAGCTGCCAAGGTTGAGAAACACTGCTTTAACTGCTAGATTTCAATTATTATTTACTGTGCTGTCTGGGGGTTATGGAAGTTGAAGATTTTAATTAAGATTTGCATGGCCACCCATCTCATCCTTGCAACTCTAGGTGGCTAACAACAAATAAAACCCCGTAAAAAACATCAAAACACATGAAAAGCCAATCACAATAACTTGAAACCACAACTCCACAGGTTCCAACTAAGATCTCTAGGTTGGGCAAGTGGATTATAGCAGCACGCTGAATCAGAAGAGAAGTGCTTAAAAACCCATAAATAATTTTCACAAAAATAAAATTCAGGGCCAGGGCCCTCTAAAGTTTTCCACCATGAAGGCCTCAACCTGTTAGGCAGATAGGTGAAGATTTGTTCTCACGGGGCATCATTTTTCTGGATTTTGCTAGATGTGGAAGACGTTCCATGAGTTATTTACGGCATCAACTATTCAGTGGCAATTGTTGTTTACTCAGTGGTTGAGATTTCAACACATATCTTGACCCTAGTACACTGAGGACTAGAAACTTACATAAGCACTCCCAAATTTAAGAAGTCAATATTCTCATGAAACCAGTTGTGCACCCAGGATTTATGCAGTACTCTGTTACAATAGTGATGCATGAAAAGCCACACCCCAAATTCAATGCTGCGTTCAACACCCAACAGTAGCCATTGGTCAAAGAGAATCATTGCACCTTCATTGTCCTGTATCTCTCAGACTGTCTGACTTGCTCCACCTCTGCAGACATGCCATCTTCCAGCATTTCCTGTTTGGAAGACACAAACAATACAGAAGTTTCCAAAGAAAGAACTGTGTTTTACCTTAGAGACAAATACATTTATGAGATGTTGTAAATCTCAGTCCACTTTTTCAGATGAACGAGATAGAATCCCAAGAAAAGTGTTTAGTGCTTTAAAAAATATACAGGTAGCCCTTGGCTTTTGACCATTTGTTTAACAACTGTTCAAAGTCACGACGGCGCTAAAAAGTGACTTATGACTGGTCCTCACACTTACAACCATCACAGTGTCCCCACGGTCATGTGACCAAAATTTAGGCACTTGGCAACTGCCATGTATTTACGATGGTTGCAGTGGCCTGGGGAGATGTGATCGCCATTTGCGACCTTCCCAGGGGGCTTCCAACAAGCAAAGTCAATGGGGGAAGCCGGATTTGCGGCAAAAAAGGTCGTAAAATTGGGCACAATTCACTTAACAACCGCATCATTTAGCAACAGAAGTTCTGGTCCCAATTGTGGTTGTAAGTTGAGGACTACCTGTATTCACAGTCTTTTTTGAGGATGGAAAGCAAAGAGGGGAGAATTTATTTATCTATCCATGAAACTGGGTGGCAAACAAAATAAAAACAGAATTTCATTCAAGCCAAGTAAAGCTTCATCAAGGATCAATAAAAACACGAAACCACTACATCCATGCCAGAGTTCCCATGCCAGCATCCAGACCCCAGTGCCTGAGGGAAGGACCAAGTCTTCATGTCCTTGCCAAAGGCCAATAGAACAGGGGCTGTCTGAATTTCAGCAAATCCATCATTGCTCAAGATTTATGGTCCTGAGAAAAGAACACGCTTAAACAGTCAGCGTGTCAAGTCCACGATGTCCAACTCTCAGTTCTGAAGCATTCTCATGCAACCAGTCTTGGTTCAGACAAATACTTCTTTATTAAGAGGT